CGTCTGATACACAAAAGGTGTACAAGAGAGAGACCCTAACCCTAACCCTAACCCTAACCCTAACCCTAACCCTAACCCTAACCCTAACCCTAACCCTAACCCTAACCCTAACCCTAACGAGGGACGGGCGCAAGCCGTCGTTTATGTCAGTGACGGCGACGAGATCTGTGTTGTTGACCGGACTGGGCTTGTCAAACCACTACAAATCTCACCATTTGCAAAGCAGCTGGGGGCGTGCCTTGTCTTCCTAGACGAGGCCCATACAAGAGGTATTAACTTGAAACTGCCTCAGCACTACAGAGCTGCTGTAACCCTTGGAGCTGGTATAACAAAAGATAAGCTGGTGCAAGGTAAGATCACCAAGGTTAGCATCAGTCAAAAATCGCTTACTGATTACTTGTACAGCATGCATGAGAATGAGGAAATTAGGCAAAGGGCAGTCTGTTGTCTTCTGCGTCCCTCAGGAGATCAGGTCAAAGATCCTCTCCATCATTGGGAAGCCCAGCGGGTATGACATTAACGTATCGGAAGTGCTCCGCTGGGCGGTCTTGGAGACGTGGGTCAACATGCAACGTAGTATACCGTTATGGGCGATTCAGGGAGAACATTTTGAGCGCCAAAACAATCTCTGGAGCAAGGCCCGCCGTGATGGTGAGACTCAGATGTCCAAAAACCAAGCGGAGGAATTCCTCAAGCAGGAATCCCAATCTCTCAAGCAGCAATATCAGCCCCGTCCTGACAACAACGCACCGCCTTTTATCACATCCGATAACGACGACAACAACAACATCCGCCTTATCTTGGAGAGGTGTCGCAAGTTTAAGAACATAAACTTCCAATCCACACAACTCCAAGAAGAACAGGAAAGACAACTCGCGCCAGAAGTCGAGCAGGAGCGACAAGTCCAACGGCCACCTTCAGCCACACCTGAGGATCATTCTGTTCACCCAGACTTGCGTCACTTTGTGACAACTGGAATACTAAAGGATGGATCAAACGCATTCATGCCCACTTTCCGGGGGCTAGATAATACATCAGCGGCAAAGCACTTGAACGTGTCTGAGCTTCCCCCCGGCCTCCTTGTCACTAGTGATTTCGCTAGAACCATTAAGGTGCCCAAGTTGCCGTCATCGACCATGGACGATTACCAACGCCCCGTCCAATAGGTCCTCACAGGTACCACCTATTCTTTCGCCGGACGGAACAGAAAAACCATAAAGCACATGATAGTCATAAGCCCTTATGAAGCGAACAAGCTCCACTCCAAGATCCTGAAGTCTAAGAAGGTCACGATGCACATATACGCGCCGCGCCAGAACCAAATCTTCTCGGCCCTCGACAACCTCGGCCTGTATCCTATACCGCGGGCAGATTCTGTTGTTTTTGACATTCCGACCACTGTCAGAATCCAGCTAAATCTCTTCGCGGGTCAGCTCTATATCTCCTCTTTCGACGAGTATCGTGAGATATGCGAGTTTCTTGGAGTCGCATACTACACTGCACTAGAGGGTCTGACCGTGGCCGCGGACGGGTTTATAGTCACTGCACCTGACAGGGCAATGTTCACAAAAAGCCCGCTTAAGTTCTTGAAGGTCCTCATGTCACAAATTAGAAAGGATGGGCAGGAAATTGATAAAACACACATTGGGAAACTGTTGGATGGGAAGTTGTTGACCATGGATAATTAGAAGAGGTCTCAAATGTTGGATCACACTGTCGTGTCTCCGCCATATATTTTATGATAGCTTTGAGTACTCAGGTTCTTTATCTAATTCATATGTTCTACAATATATTGCTGGACCATGGATGGCCATCTCCTCTCACCGGCCTTCCATTAAAGGAGGAGTATCTAGCACTGCTTAATATGGCAGCAGGGCTGAATACAGTGCTCCCTCCACCTTCTTTACCATCTGTGTCCCAATCTCAATCCATTAACCATTGTCTAAGACAGTGCCTTCTCCTCTTCTTCCACTGTCTTCTCCCTTTCCTGCTCTCATTCCTTGGCTACTTATTATAATAAGCTTAAACTGCACCTCTATATATAGTATATTAAGGGAATAAAATAATTATATAGTCTAAAAGCTTAACCTATGTATAAATATATCATTATTATCACGGGCTAGAAGCCGATTCAACCTATATTATAGGTTTGGACTGTAAGAACTCGCTAAGGAACTTCTAACTAAGGCCGCGGCGGCCGAACAAATATCAACACGCGCACGGTACCTAGCGGTTCCAACTCCTATCCACGGCAGCACTGTGACAGTAATCTAGTACTTCAACACAATGTCCCCCCTCTTTCCTTTATATATCCTTTTCCTTTGTTCGCACGGTCTGGCCTTTGGGATTGGGTTAGGGTTAGGCGTTTCGGTGTATCTAGGTGTAGATAGTAAGGGCGTTAATTCATGGAGACGAGTCCCTAGCTGAGGCAAAAGCTGAACAAAGAGGACAGGACCCGAAAATCTGTTTGCCGCTGAATAACCCAGGATTCTCAGAGGAGGAAAAGCTCGTGCCTGCTAAGTGAAGCACATAAAACTTTTACGGCTTAAGATGCATTAATTGCGGCCACTGATCAGGGAGAATAAGGTGAAGCCGTTGCCCATCTACAAGCTTCGGTTATTACTTATTGCGCTTCTCATGACAAAATACCAGGAGACTTAAATTAACAAGCTATTGGGTTCTTCAAGCAAATTATCGCCTGTTTGGATCCACTAGGCATAGTTGAGTCATTATGGAGAAAACTAAGAAATCTACCTGTGAACCTCAAGTGTTGTATATGAGCGCCAGCATTACCAGGGCCCAGCAATAGAGTGGTAGTGAGGCGAGATACGGCCGGAGCCATGTAACAAAGAAGTTGTCAAGTAAGCTAATTTAGCTGCCCTTTCCACACAGGATGCCCAAAGGATGTTTTTCAGACGATGGCCATATGCAAAGAGCTTGACTTACCTCTGATAAGACCGTGCAGCTGTGGGGTGATCCAGTACCATTTCCGGAAGCTTAACCCAAGGCCAAGGTGACCTCAAGTGTAGCAGCGTAGAGCATTACAGTCAACAAAAGCTCACACGAGATGGCTATTTTAGATAAGCATCCTTGCGAGTACCACCTATCATTGCTCCTTTTACTCCCATGAGCAGTCCATGAGCAATCCGTGAGCAATCCGTGAGCAATCCATGAGCAATCCCTGAGCAATCCCTGAGCAATCCCTGAGCAATCCCTGAGCAATCCCTGAGCAATCCCTGAGCAATCCCTGAACAATCCCTGAGCAATCCCTGAGCAATCCATGAGCAATCCATGAGCAATCCATGAGCAATCCATGAGCAATCCCTGAGCGATGCAATATTGGTTAAAGACTAGTCAAGACAAGATACAAAAGCAAGCCGAAGAGTCTCCACGTCTCAAAACCACGCAACGTCTAGCGTGAGAGCTCTCTGCGATCTTGTGGTGCTTATGTGACGTTCCTTCTATAGTTACTAATTATAGAAGACTAAATGGACTTACTAGCCTTCATCACAGTGGGTGAACCATTCCTGCTACAGCAACCGATTCGATCTAAACTCTCCATTATAAGCATATCGCACAGTTTATTAACAAGTTAGAACTAACAAAAGGACACAAATACTGTCTAAGCTCACTTGCTGCAATCTATCCACCTGTGAAGCAGAGGGAAAAATGGCCTGTCGACAGATCAGGTTGCTGAGCTGCGCACAAGTCAATCTAGTCCATATTGTACCCTCCTTAATCACAGCAGTTTTTGACTGCGGTCTATAGCTCATCATCATTTATTGGTTGGTAAAGTAGCACTAGACATCCACAGGGTTGCCGTTCATGTCCTGGTACAGGCAAAACTAGTACGAGCCTCCTACTGCAACTTATACACATCAGGTACTGTAGTGATGAATCTTCCTGGCGAAGCTTCTATACTAACCAGGTACAGTCTCGCGGGAACTTGCTACTTCAGGCTACTTTATACAACGCATTAAAGGCTGGATACGTGAGATAACTAGCTTCCCGCCTGGATATAAGAAGTACTTGGCATGCCTATGTTTAATCCTATACATCAGGTCCAGGATATTCATCTAAGGTCAATTTATCATCTCCTGCGCGGAGTAGCCAACCGTCAAGATCCTTCGGCGGCCCTGGCTTCCACGAGTATCTGAAATGGAATTCTTGTAGCCTGTAGGGTGCCCTTTCAAAATTCTTTGCATCATACCACTCCGGGTCATCCTCGTATCCTGCCCACTTGACTCTGTATTGTAGAATGCCGTCGTGCGTCCTAGAATCGAGGATATAGTCGACTTCATACTGCTCGTCACCTGTCATATCATCTGCCTCTTCAGAAATATCTGTAATGTACTCGTCGCGCCGACCTCAAAGACTAGTTATGCTTCGAATGAAGTGCTCCTACATCACAAGAAGTGCCTCAAACACCTGACGCGGGTTGGTGCGGCAGTATTCGCGGAACTTGGTTCAGGTAACGCCTTCACCTGAGAAGATTCTCCCGCCTATTTTCCCCTTAAGGTACAGCTTTCGAGAGGCCCTGGATGGATGAGAATGGGCCATTATGATGCAAAGGAACAAAAGTAGGAGCTGCTTCCCAATGATACAGCGCTGTGAATATAGAGAGCAATATTATCTTTGGTAGGCTGGGAGACTACTCAGTTAAGTTTTAGCATGTGCCTCTATTTCTAAGCAGCACAGAGCCCGAGTATAACTACCTGCACTGGTGTAAATGAGCTGCCCTCAACTCTTTTGATGCTAGCTCCGTTCTTAGATAGTCCCAAAGAGCTACTGGTCGATGGCGATATTTAGCAAATAAAAATTTATCCGTGAGTTGCGCAATGCCCTTCAATAATTATATTCTTTTGGTTGATCACAAGTGGAACCAAACGGGGGAACAACCATTTAATGGTATGCCTCATCCGATCAAAGAAGTAATAAGGCAGTTAAACACACTAGCCACGTCCAAACTAGCCACCCAAACTAGTTTCCTTGAGAGTAAGGGCCTCTTTGAGCATTGAACTCAAAGTTGCGGGTTGAGCCCAAAACATTTTGCGAGATTGGGGACGACTGGCCACTATCACGACCCACTTAGTTGGATCCGCAAGTGATCAACCAACCGACTTTCGCGATCGATCATTGCTATCCCAATGTTCTCTAATGAAGAAACCTCCAAACATATGGAAGATCTAAACCAGTTACCAGTTACCAGCATTTACTCGCGCAAACAACGGCAGTCTGGGTAGCTGACTGGTAATTTGTTCAATGGCTCATTCTCCCTATCCGGCATGTCATACAGCAGATCCACTTAGCACTCGTATGTTCTAGAAATTGGTCGAATTCAAACTAACTTAGTAGGGAAAGTCCTCCGAGCTTCCCCTGTGGGTTACTGTCACTTAACCAAATTTTCAATAGCCATCCCGCCTGCTCGTTGGAAATTTCACGAAAGAGGGAAGTCGAAACAGAGTCGTGAGCTTGAAACTGTACAGTGTTAACCCTTCTCAGCTTGTCACTTCTGTACAGTAATCTTTCACATACCCCAACTAATTTTGAGTTTGGTATGCGTAAGGAGACTATCATCAGCGTCTTTTCCTTTATGCCGATGAAGAACCTTAGGGTGTTAGATTCGTTCATAGAGGACAGTGCTATGGGTACAGGCAAAGCTGTTTGCACTAAAACTGCGTGGCGTTAAAGGACGATGAGCACAGTAATAGTATATTCTGGTACCTCTTTTATTTCCTCTATGACGAAGACGTAAGTCAGCAAGCATAGAGGCTCTGGTTTATGAAGATTCGTGTGGACAGCTGTAACCCTAAGCCATTCTCTAGTCAGTCTATGCGAGGATTCTGAGCAATCTCCAAGTGACCTGTTACGCAGATGACCTTAGAAGACTGGAACTGATTAGAGAAGGCCAAGGACAAATTTGAGTGGGTTGAACCAAGTGCTGTAACCCTGGCCATTTACCATACCAAAATGAGTAAACAGAAGGATTTAAGCAATTCCCACCCGTAATTCATCCCTGAGATTTCTCTATTGCACTAGTGTTATTCCCAATTCCATATTCAGCTTACTGCTCAACGTATATCAAAAAGGATTTCCAAGTAGTCCTATAGTCATGACTGTAAAATGAGCAGATTGCTATTTATGCTGGTTACATTGATGGTAAAATGCGCCAGTGAGACCGACTACTAAGTACTAGCCATTTATATCCTCGAAAAGCAAGCTATAACTGCTCAATGCACCCACATATACAGTTGTCTCCTCTGCAGCTTCTGCTCACTCTATCCTTATTACAACTAGAAGCTACGATTGATCGACATTAGTCAATGTCCCAGAATCAATCCAGAAAGATGCGCACTCAGCGCACCCTGCGCCTGAGAAAGACAATCTTCAGCAAAATCAAATATTTTTGTAATAAATGCAACGCCCATTGCTTTTTGGTGCTGCAGACAAAAGGAGATGGAAAGACATACATACTAAGTACCACAGGATAGGATCGTTCTGCAGAGCAGCTGGTGCGTTCTGACTCAGTCACCTTTAGGTTCTGGATGGGTTCTAATGCTTCCCCAGAACTCGTATTTCCCTACACCTGTCCGGAAATTCATAGATGATACCTCTGGCGAATCTTCCCGATCTGACGTTAAATGATAGGAAATTGACAGTTCCGTAGCATAGCTGTTAGCAGGAGGGCACAGTTTCAGATCAGGTGATCTGGTAAGGTCTATTAACATGGAAAGCGAAGATACCTGAAACTGCCTAGTCTGCCAGCTGTATATGAGAGCACCACCCATCTTTTCTGTACCAGACACATGATAATACACACTAGCCTGGAGTTTCAGTCTTTCCACAGATCCCTTATTCAAATCTAAACCATTACCAGAATAATTACTGCTTGCTGAAGCCTACAGCAAGACTATTCACTTATCATATTCAAGTAGAATTCACGAATGGTTTGGTTTCCATGGAATGCGTTAGACCTCTTGAAACCCCGACAACCCTGTTGGACGACGAAGATATATCTTATTGGCTCTGGACTAAACCCCTGACTAATTCAAGCTGGTGACTGTCCATCTACCTCTCCATGGGAAGGAATTTTGATGAAGAATCTAAAGTACATCAAAGCAGCATCCTACTGATGAGTAACCACATAAATCAAACGCAGGAAAAAGATAACAGGATGATTTATTGACTCATGGACGACAGTCCGTACGCGACAATGAATGTCACGCTCAAAGCCGGATTCCGTGGACTGTTTCAGTATGATTCTTGAATTCCGGAACGCTCAACGGGAGGTAATTGATGCTCCTCATGCCACATAATCCACACCATTTAGTACCAGTACCAAATGCAGCAAGCTCTGCTCGGTGCAGGTTTTCCACATGATCCCAAAGTTTGTTGATTTTGCTCTTCTGTTTTTCACGGGTACTGAGAGGTAGACCCGTGTTGGCCAAGCAAAATGGGCATTGCAAGGGGTCATATCTCTCGGGAATGATGGCGAGGGATGGAGACGCTGGGATCGGCTGGGGTTGCGCTACAGTTGCTTCCGCCTGCTTCCCTTGACGGGGTGCCTCTTGGCGATACTGCCATTGGACCAGGAGACGGATATACCTCAATCGGCGATCGTAAAGTTCCTCTTCCGTAGTTGGCGTAGGGGAGTAGAAGAGCAACTGCACCAACTCAGCTCGCTCTGGGATCTGATAGTGATGCGGAAAATGAGGCTGAGGATCACTTTCCTGGGGTTGAGGCCCGTCTTCATCCCGCTGGTTAAAAAGCTCTGTATCTTTGTATCGAAAATGTCTCTTTCGATTCTTACTCTTTGCTTTTTGTCGGAGTTCAGTCAGCTTCCTAGCCAGCTCTACATCCGCTTGTCGCTTCTGCTTGCTGAGTTCAGTTCCCGCCGCGTCGCTCACTCTTCGATAACCCTGCTTGCGAATCTCTTCTGTAAGTCTTCTGCAGCGTTTACGCAGACGCCTGACCTCAGGGTTTCATTTAATTTTGCACTTTTGCTCATCTGTCAGACCCAGGGGCGCGGTGTTGTCAGCTAGGAGAGTGGCCGATCGTAACTCTCTTTGCACAGTTTCATTTGAGGCCCGCCGATGAAACGCAGCAGCTGTGTCAAAGTCCACCATTTCATTAAGGTAGTATTTGATGGCATTGGACTCATGGTCAGCAACTTGATCTCGAACCGAGGCCGGCGCCCGATCTGTTACCAGTAACTCTATCAGCTAGAGCGCCTGGGAGGGTTGGAGAGGCATCTTACTGTTAATAGCGTTGATACCCCCACGTCGGAGGACTTTTTGGGTCAGGTTTTTCTCTTGGCCGGATTGTTCTCCAGTCCGTTTCAGATATCAGCCCGAAGTAGCGGCCTTCAAGGGTATGGACCTTGATGTCCGGTAACCGTCGTCAGTCCGCTCCGGCTCACGAAAGATTGGAACGTCCAACCACTTTCTCTTGATTTTCAACTGCATACCCCTTCTATGTGATGGGATTTGTTTGGTATAGATGTCCTCAATGTCCCGAATGTCGGGCGCAAAAATACCATCGTGCCAAGCTAGTGACAGAAGCTGTGACAGAAGATCAAAGATTAGATTATCTTCATGTTCGATCACAAATCGCTTTCTAGGCTCCGGTAAGTGACAACGGCCGGTATGTTTGAGGGTTTTCGCTTACATTCGAGGCTTCTGATCTTCTCCCTTTGTATGAATGAGGGTCACAATGGCAACGAGGATATTTGGGCGGCCGGGTACAGGGTTCCGGACAATGCAGAACTCAACGTGTCTCCAGAGAATGGTGCCTGTGTCATCGTCACCAGCAAGATATCCATCATCTGTGATAACACTAGAACAGTCTGACATGTAGCCCATATCGCTCATTGTGTCATCGGAAGAACCGTCGCTGGATATCTCGTCGAGCATATCATCTTCCTCGATGTTGAGGCGACCACTACGGCTTGACTCATAGCCAGAGTCACAGTGAGTCTCACCACCTTGACCACGAGTTGGAGAATTTAGCGCTCCATTGTCGCCTGCCTCGATTTTACCGGGAATGACCGGGCTGCCATCCGGGTGTAGGTTGACCTGACATCTTGTATTGAATAACGAAACCGCTTGACAGGCAGTAATGCTCGACAAGTTAAGGCTAGCCATGTGATAGAGCCTCTGCTTCTCATCAGGGAAAACGGCTTTACAATGAACGAGGTGCGCGGTCTGGTAACAGAGCAGATCAAGTGAGTTTTCCGTGTCTTTGGGCAACGGGAGTCTGCGTAGGCCCATTCGCATGCTGACTTCGTTCATGTACTACTCTCAAGTTAAAGAGCCTCTTCTCGCGTTCAGGAGAATAAACCTTACGTTAATACAGTCTTTGACCATTGACGAACGCATACTTTTCTTATTTTTCATAAAATACAGCCTCTTGAGAGTCCTCCAATAGTTGGAGAGTGTCCCATGAGCTTTGATTGAACCGCGGAAGTTGTCATCGATCCAGTTGAACCAAGACTTGACGTCAGCTGAGGTCAGGTTCTTTAGCAGGATATCCGGATCCTGGTCAGACTCGGCGCAAAACCTGGTGAATGATAAGTCTCCGAAACCCCTATGTAGCGATGTAGAGCTCACCTATGCCACTTGCCGCGCACAGAAGCTGCGCTCAGGTTTGTTCTCGGAGCGTACAGGGGGAGTGTTGGGCCATTTTCAACATGCAGTTTCCGTCGCTGAGCATAATAGAGATAGGACTTTGGACCTTTGCTCTGCCCATGATGCTGCGGTTTTTTCTTGGGAAGACCTAAGAACGCCATTGTATAAGAAGAGTGGTCGTTGATACAAAGACAAGTGAGGATGTATGAACTCACGAGCAGTTGGGAGGAGATGAGGCTATTTATAATCCTCCTGGTTAGGACCATTCAGCGGTATGCGGATTATTTTCTCTTATCACTTGTCATTTGGTTCAACAGCCGGTTGCTGGCAGGATCACGCTGTGTAGGGCAGCGTGGATGCTGATGCTATAGTCCTGTCTTGGTGGGTCCCGTTGAGCGTAACGCTGTTACCGAGCCGCCCTTGTAAATTTGGCAATGTAAAGCGGCATGCGAATACTACCCGTTCGGGAATAGTTCCCGGGGCCGAAGCAGCCCAAAACAGCTACCAGAATCGCCCGATTCGGCGTCTTTGGCCCCTAAAGGTATATTCTATATGTAATAGCAAGCTTCCTTCTCTCTGAAAACATAAGTGGACATTGACGATTCTGACCTAGGATAGGCTTCAGGGATGCTAGCTGATGTCCAACTGACAAGAGTTCTCGTTGAACAGGAACATGGGTGACTGAACGAGTAAATGGAGAGGGGATCTGACGCCGAGCGGAGTGCCGCCGAAAGGACTGAGTTTATGCATAGGTATCACCCCGAATTTCAGCCGACGCACTAATCCTAGACCACCTAGCCCTCCATATTGGCATATCTGCCAGAAATGTGCCCCTGTCAAATTCAACGCGTAAAGAGGCAGTCATGGAAGAGCGAAGAGTATCTCGCTCACATAAAATTAGAAGAGGAAAAGGGGGCGATTGGATATTTTGTATAAGGAACCTGGAGTGATTGCTTCAACCTTTCCAAAGCAAGGGTGGAACTAAAAGTCTGTGGAAGAAAATATAGGAGACAGGAATGTGTTTAGTGCAGATAAATCAAACATCCTATCCCCAGACAACTGCTAGGCGTGGGGACACTGAGGGGCGCAAGGGAGACGTCAGCAGTTTGGGCTTGGCAGGTAAATATTAAAGGGATGCAGGGGGCTTCTAGTGAAGGACTGAAGAATAGGGCAGCACGGGCGCTACTCTGTAAACCCAACACATCAAGAAGATGATGAAAAAGGAAAAAAACCTACGGAGTACAACAGCCGGGATTCGCTGGTGGTCACCCACCCAACTAAGGTACTAACTGGCTGGCGTGTGGCTTAAGCATGGTCAATCCCTCGGTAGGTGCCGACTTATCCTGCCGTGGGGCGGTAAGCTCGATTTTGCTCTGCATCTATTCTCAACAGGGTTAGCACCAAGCAAGGGATATAACTGCTCAACAGCATATAATGAAGTCTGTTAGCTGAAATGTGCTTGCTTCCAACATTCATAGAAGCACCTGGTCGATAACTTTCAATATTTTCCTAACTGTTTTCATCGTGACTCCGCTTTCGACATGTCTGACAGCCATTGTATCCTCCTTCAGAATGGTACTGTATTGGCTCATGACGATAACCACGTCAAGATCCTCAGGGATCATGATGTGCTGATCCAAGGGAACAAAATCAGCAAAATTGGGCAAGACTTGGCCGTCCCTCACGGAGCCAGATCGATCGATTGCAGAGGGAAAATTATCTCTCCTGGATTTGTGGATACGCACCATCATTTATGGCAGAGTCAGGTGGGTCGCCTTTGCGTGATTATGTGTAGAGACTGAGTTGGGGAGTGTTATGGTCACGTTCGCACTTCTGTTCGAACCAATGATTTTGTTTAAATCTCCTGATACTCATTTATCCAGCTGAAAGGAAGACACGGAGATGAAAGTTTTGTTGATTATATGGTTTCCGGTAGGTCCGTTGGATTCTCTGGTTTTTCAAATGCTCTTATCACTTTTGAACTTGTCAAAGAGGCACAAACTCATTCAAGTTTGAAGGTAATCTGCAATCCTATAACTACGACCGAGACGACATCTTCTGGGGCCAGCTTGCTGGCTGTTTGGAAAGCCTTGATGCCGGTGTAACAACTGTTGTCGATCATGCACATATGTCCTATTCTCCGGGCCATGGTAAGATATCAAATGTCTCATGATCAAATGTGGTCTGGTGGGCTCACAAAAAACTTTGTGCAGTGAACGAAGCGATACGTGCTACGGCTTCTTCTGGGTTGCGATCATTCTTCTGTTACACAGTCATGAATCGGATCACGACCTGGTCCTCGCATCTGGAGTTCGATAACGACCCTATCCCTGAATGGTGGCATACGACACTTGACTCACTGGCTAAGATCCAACCGTTCGGCAATGGTCGTGTATATCTCGGTCTCGCCTTTGACATGTTCAGTCTGCCCAGACACACGGTTGTTGGTTTATGGGAGAAATGTCGACGACTAGGTTTGAATCTCATAACAACTCACTATGTCGCCGGGGCAATGACCAGTAAGGTTCCTTTGGGAGTTCCATGGGCTCAATAGATTACGATTGACTTTTCATAATAGATTCGGTCAAACTTCTTTTTGAGTACGGCCTGTTAAAGAAGGATGTTCTGTTCTCTCACGCTACACAAATCTCAGAGAGCGACGCAAAGACACTCGTTGAGCATGGTGTTTTCATTTCCACCACTCCAGATACAGAGCTCCAAATGGGTCTTGGAGAGTGTGTTGCGTTTCGTAAGGACATTATGTGCAATGCTTCCTTTGGTGTTGACTGTCATGCCAACAACTCGAGTGACATCCTGACACAAATTCGACTTGGCATGCAGCATGCCAGAGGAATCGAGAATGTGAAAGCCCTCGAAAATGGACATAATCCTGCCGTTCAGATCAAGTTGGAGGAAGCATTCAATCTTGGGACAATACAAGGAGCCAAGGCTATCCATATGGAGAATCAAATTGGTAGTATCGCGGAAGGAAAGCTGGCAGATATTGTCGTATTCGATGCTCGAACTCCAGCGATGGTTTGCGCGGCGGAGCAAAACCCATTGGCTGCTATTCTATTGCACGGCAGTATACGGGATATTGATATGGTGATTGTTGACGGAATGATCAGGAAACAAGACAAGAGATTATGCAGCGTCTCTGTCCTGGATGGACCTAACGGAAAGGCAGTCCGTTCATTTGATTGGGATCAAGTGGCAGAAAAGCTCCTGGAGAGTCGAAGGAAGATTAACGAAAGGAGCCAGAGTCAGAATCGGGAAGCTGCAATCCAGTCCCTCCATAAGTTTTTTTGAGTCAATTTTTCTGATTGGCATGTTGTCAGCGGATATCGAGACCTGATGGAGAATCGGGATTTGATGTGGGATTTAATCACTATCAAGTCGATTTCTGGGACGAACCTGTTTGATTAGGCAGAACAGGTTGCAGCCTGATATCAACTTGGTGATAGGGGATGGAAGCGAGGCTATAAATGGAAGCAGTTATAAGACAACCCATAAGTAAAGGCGCACCGCGAGTTCTAAGAGGACACTAAGGTGTTGAAGGACGAGAGTGCAATAGATAGATGGCCTTACACTTACAGCCAAAACTGCCACCTTAGACAGGAGCGTTTTGTTTCGGGTATACGACTGTTAGTCCTGCCCGGATCCTGCTCTTACGCGGGCCATGCTCCTGCCCCCGTCACAATCTTACGAGCCATCCTCTTACCCAGCGCATGCTCTTATATGATCTTGTCGCCTAGCCGAATTTGACGAGTGGAAGACGGTTCTCGGAGATCGGTGGATCCATCTGCACAGGCGCAGGTTTCGGGTACCCGATTTTCGCTTATAAGATTATCACGTTTCTCCGGTTCTCTACCTTACCCCTAGGTGCTCGCTGGTCTTAGTTCACAAAATAAATTCCAATAAGGTCACGACCTACACCCTACTACGGACATTAGTATGGCCTGCCAAATGGATTTTCATGATTGCTGTAGTTCTCCCACATCACATCATACGGGTTCTTGGAGCAGAAAGTCACTATAGAGACCATAATTCTGTAGACGAGCACATATTTACTATTTTATCTCAACCTTAAATCCTCTCCAAGAATGTCTCTTTCAAAGTACAGAGCTACTGGATTCTTGCAGGCCATTTACATAGGAAAAAGATGAGTCTGCGTTGGAAAAGCACAGGCTAATATCATTTCATCAAATCAGTGGCCATACTGTCATCAGCCTGACCTACACAAATATTTCACCATCCATCTCACTTCCTTCCTCCTCCAGTCAGAAAGTCATAATCCCAGTATGGATGACTGGCCTGATGAGCTCCCAAGGGGAAGCATCACTCATCCTTGCAGCACCACTTCTTCCATCTGGTGACACAGCATTTACCATCGCCACAGGCACTAGTGCTGTATTCACTATAGACGCTTGGACATGCTCCCTGGCAGATGGGTGCAGTTCCAGACCAGAAGCAATCTGGATCTTCAGCATTCATTGCATTTGCGGCCTTGGCGTTCTTGGCCCAAGTATCTAACATACATACTCTAAGAGGAGCTAGTTTGACTTTAATGAGAAAGCGGCGGCCGCTAGGGGCGGAATCGAATATCAAATATTCGAAACCTATCACGTGTCAGTGGTGGGATGTCCAATTTTACGGAGGCAAAAATATATGGCTATCGATTATTACAATATAGCCGTGGCTCACAGACGGACATTCCTTGCGACAAAACTACGGAATTAATTAAGAGACGTGATACAAAATGTGTCGTTAAGTTGATTCAAGAGGAATTTGTCAATTGGACTTAGGTGGACCAAAATTCTTGGCAGACTTTCTAATGTTTTCGAATATTCGACTTCGAATACGAATAATGCTGTCTTAAATCTTTTCGAAGTCGATAAGACTTCTCGAAAATATTTTCGAATACCAATAAGGAATATCCTTATTCAATTACCCCCCCAAAGAAAGCCTTTGAAAGGATGCTATATCTGAGATTGGAGACCTTAGAAACGTCAATTATGCCTGGGTGTTCATGGCCTCTTGATCTGGGCTCATAGAATTCCAAAATAGGGTGCGTTATGGTGCTCATCAAGAATAAATACATCATATGAGCAGCAGATTTCATGAGTCTCAAAGTAACATGTCACATCTGCAGCTTTCATGCATATTGTTACACAATGTGGCAATCATCCTGCTTTTGCCTCTCTATGATCCATTACTGCTACTTCTTCCCTTTATCTTCAAGCTCTTCTGTCTAATTTCTCAATACTATAAAATAGATCTCTCTTTATTTGATCTTCCCTTTTCTACCTTTACCCCCAATTCCATTACACAGTGTAACAGATTTTGCTATGCCTGCAATCTCTCTATTCTACTTAAGATCCTAATAGCTAAGAGAAAGGCAAATAAATCCCGAAATCAATTCCTGTAAACCGGAAGCCTGCCTGGCCTGGGAGGGGGTATATAAAATCTTTGGCACGATGGTTGATAGATTGCGCACCATCGGGACTACACCAGGTAAAGTCGAGGAAGGGAGCATGGATAACGTATTACTTCAATTCCCGTCATCTCAGAAATTCTGTGCCAACTTATCATAAGAATCCATATTGTAACAGCAACTACGTGTTCGTGTTTGTACTCTCTGCAATCAATCGTACTGTCCTCGCTGATCTACCGTCCATCTCAGAAATTCTGCCTAATGAGCCTTCCAAGCTCCTTCACCTGCGGGTTGTTAGCATTCTCGTCGCAAAGAAGGGTGAAAACAAGGGATACCGCTCACCAGTGGGTCGACAATCATGGAAAAATGATTTCCTTGCATGGAAACGCAGGTGAAACTCTCCTTGGCTAATAATTGGTCCCAGCCGTTCGGGCCAAAGTCCGTACGATTATTCAACAACCAGTTCATCACCTTGGGGTCATTCGGCTCCCGCTTGGGTTGTGGATCCTCGGGGTTTTTGCAGACGCCGTCTCGAGCCCAGATGGCGAGGACTTTCGGTTCCGTACCTCGTGGAAAAGGGCGGGCGATATATGTATCCAGATTACGGATCATGGCCTCAAAGTGCGGAATGAGATATGGCGGAGACGCTCTCTTACTCCGATCACCGAGCACCCCCATTGAATCAAAAAAGCGGAATAGTTTAGATGGAACGGGTTCAAGCTTCACTGGGCAAGGTGCATCAATCAGGATGAGCCTGGAAACCGTCTCGCCTCGTGCTTGTAGCTGGACTGCAGCTTCGTAAGCCATGACGCCGCCAGCGGACCAGCCGCCCAAGTTATAGGGACCCTTTGGCTGCCGCCGCTTCACTTCTTCAAGATATATGGAGGCCACTCCATCAATACCGCAATTAAAATCTTCCGGCGTCTTCATGAAGGGGCAGTTGAGGGAGTAAACGCAGACGTCCTCGCCAATAGCCGGAATGGGTGCATACGATGTGGCTGAGCCGGAGCCGTCGGGAAAGAAGAAGACTGTTTCACGGGCAGTCCGGGGATTTCCTTGAATAAGGAACGATAACGCCCGAGGTGGTTGCTTTTGAGAGTCAGTCGCAGACATTGATTGAGGCATAGTAGGGCTCGTTGTTTTCGTAGGAGGCTGATTGATAAGCAGTGCCTGCTCCAGTTGGGAGACGGTTGTACACTGGATCAAGATATCGTCTGGGACATTGAGCTCTGTTTGTTCCCGTATTCCAGCAGTGATTGAAAGGGTCATCAATGAATCCATCCCCATACCAGCAAGGTCCGCGTTGTCTGTTATTTCTTCCAGATCAACTCCCACCTCCTCGGCGATGAGCGTCCGGACAATAGTGGAGAGGTTATTGTTGCTATTGACGGGCGTGATGATGTCGTGCTCTGCACTGTCATGATCGGTCGAAGAATCTCGGGATGGTGTCACGAAGCCAGAGGCGCTGTTGTAACCGGTATCAAACCGATCTTCCGGCACTTCCTTGGGAGATGATGAACCAAAAAAACTCTTCAGGTGACCGGCCGTGGGATTGTCGACGAAAAAGGACGCCTCGACCTCGATATCAAGTTCCTCCCTGAGCCTCGCGAGAATTGTCAACGACAGCAAAGAGTCTATACCCAGATCCTCGAAAGCAGAACTATCGGTCAGCTCTTCCAACTCCAAATTACACTCGGTTGCAATAATCTCTAGCGCTTTCACACTTGAAAGCTTTACCAAAGGTACAGCTGTCAGAGCAGGCGTCTTTTGGGACGTGATGAGTGACTCCGTCCCGGGCTTGCTCGACTTTGCACGTGCAGGGGCCGCGGACTGGAGAGTGCGTTTCTGTGCAGACGCAGTGATATTCACCTTTGTCTGCGGAGCGGCTGCTTTGGATGGTTTGCTCACCGGAGGTAGCAGGTGATTGAGAAGCTTGCGTGGTACACACTGAAATTTGACACCACCAGCCAGTCCGACAACGGTATCATCATCAAGAATGTAGACGTCTCCTTGTCTCACAGCGCTATTCCCAGAAAGCAGCATTCGCGCATAGCATCGATAGGTTTTGCCATGCGAGATGGCGGCTCCGAAACGGAGCGATTCCCAACCGTGGGAGATGTAAACTTGCTCATCCGATTGAGTCGCTTCACTTGCGTTGACAATGAATCCGGAGATATGGCACAAGTTGTCTATCCAGCGAGGATCCATATAATAGTCTCGGTCGCTCTCGGCGGATTTGAAGGTGACTTTGGCAGTAGCATCAAATGCGCTCGCATCCAGGATCACTTCATCCATGCCACGGTAGCTCTCGTCATAATTGACCAGAGCCGAAAAGAGCTTGTACGCCATTCCCCGGCCCACCCTGTGGGTGTTCGCGTTGCCCACCGCCGCGTCCAGTCGTTTTATTTGATCGTGGACCATATAGGAATTTTTGTTCCATTTGGCAAGCCATTTTTGTGGATTGCCATACTTCACCTGACACACGGCGTGGTCAACTGTCTTTTTACCTTTTTCATCGACGCTGAAGAACTTGAACTTGACGGAGCCGTCGCTGAGAGTAGCTCCAACTCTGATTAGCTGGGCCTTGCTCGGGTCTGTATTCAGGATCAACGGCTTGTCGACTTCCATGGAGCAAACATTCATTCCAGCCGGTGCAGCGCCATCACCGCTCTTTTTGTACAGGTAACTTCCAATAGTCAAAGCCATCTCAGCGTAAACCACCTATGGCAGTTAGCACAGACAAGCAACTGTCTGACAAGACGCAAACATACAGAAGGACAGAGCCCGGCTCCATTGACAACATGGCCGAGGATCAGGTTTCTCAGCTTTGGATGAGAAATATCTGACTGTGCCAATAGCGTTATAGCGTCATCTTCGATCCTCTCCTCTAATATCTCTTGAACGGTAAGAGTAAAGTGTTTCTTCGGCGCAGACAGATTTGGAGAAGGCTGTTTGTCGGTCGATGATATTACTGGCTCTCCTTTGGTGAGACACCAGTCGTTCCGGTACTCGATCCAGTAGCTGTTAGAAGCTCTTAGTACACACCAAGACGCACGATGTAGAAGGTGTGATCAGGAAAAGGACGCCTTACTTTTTGAGATCAAAAGCGTACGAAGGAAGAGTGAGAAGTCTATGTGAGTCGTCAAAGTCTCTATGGTACTCATTCCAGTTGATCGACAGGCCCTGGTTGTAGAGCGTTGCCAGACTGGACGAAAGCGTGGTCCACGGATCTTCAGACTTGCGCAGGGAGGGAAGGCCAACCGTTTCTGTACCGAGTATAGATTTAAGCATACGCACGCAGATGGGATGACTGCCAACCTCTATCCAAATGGTCCGATAATCAATGATCTTCTTTTCCCTGGCATCTGCAACTGCCGCCGAGAAATTAACTCTTTCCCTGGTATGACGGACCAGATACTCAGGGTTGAGCTCGCTAGGGTCCAAAACCCGCCCCATAAGTGAAGAAATGATCGGAATCTTTGGCGACGAAAACGTTACTGAGCTGGCTGCGCTGTTCAATTCGCTAAGGATCGGATCCATTTGAGAGGAGTGGAAGGCATGTGTGACTTCAAGCTTCTTGGATTGTAGTCCTCTGGCGGACAATGTCTCCGCCAGGCTCTCAATCGATTTCTGCGGTCCAGCCAGCACAGTCTCTTCTGGGCTATTCTCACAGGCAATATCAACGTCAGTTCCGGCCAGGTACTGGGCCAAAGATGATGTCGAACCCTTGACGGCAAGCATTGCATGACTCCCTGCTGTACAGAGCTTCTCCATGAGCTCCGCTCTACGGCCAACGACGTGGATCACGTCACTCGCGGAGAGAACACCTGCAGCATACAGAGCAGCGTACTCTCCGATGCTATGGCCAATCACTGCCGACGCTTCGATTCCCCACGATTCCAACAGCTCTACCAATGCCATTTGCACGCAAACCGTTGCAAGTTGCACGGTGACAGGCCTTAATGCGGTCAGGTCGGACTCCGACCCATCAATGACAAGCATGAAGGAGGCGAAGCCCTGTCTCGTAGCAAACTTCTCACACATCAGAATCGTGGATCGGAATTGCGACGAAGTCTCAAACAAGGTCCGTGCAAGTGAACAATATATCGCCCCTTGCCCAGTGAATACAAAAGCCAGTTTTTGAGGCTGGACAGGGCGGAAATCCTGTTCAGATGCAGTTTCCAATGCTTTCTGAACTGCTGCCGTGTCTTGAGCGGAGCAAGCAAATCGGTAGTTGTGCATCATACGCCGAGCCATGGTCGTATACGACAGATCTGCCAAGGAAGTTGACGGATTGGCAGCGATGTAGGCCGCCAGATTTCTGATGTTGTTCTTAAGGGCGCTCGATGACCGTGCAGAGACAGAAACCACCATATGCGATCTAGGATCGTTTGTCGACGGAGGCCGTTTCCGTGGGCCTTCCTGCAGTAACATTGCCTGGTTGCAGTCAGCGTCTCAGCTCTGTAATACAAGTTGTCACAAAGGGGTCCGCACAGTATTACCACCCGCAGCGGAGAAGTTATTCAGGAACACCAGGCGAGGCGAGCCGTCCACATGCGGAGGCCAATGCATCAACTCCATGGGAATATGAAGGTTTCTCGCCGTGAGATTCTTCGAGAATTTCTGATTGATGATGCCACTTTTGATGCCAACATGCGGCGGAATAGCATTATGTTCCAGCATTTTGAGGACTTTGATTAACGACATGGCACCAGCGGCAGCTTCTCCGTGACCAATATTCGCTTTGACAGCCCCAACGTACAGTGGAGAGGAGCGTGGCGTCTTGTCTTCTGGCGCGAAGACCTCGCTAACAGAAAGCATCTCATTGTAATCGCCAGCTTGCGTCCCCGTGCCATGCATCTCGACGTATTCCACCTCGTACGGATTGACGCCTGTTTCTCCCATGATGCTGCGGCAAAGAAACGCTTGAGCACCATGATGGGGTCGTGTGATCGACGCAGACTCGGCCGAGTGATTTGTCTTCGAGCCCAGGATAACGGCGAATATATTATCATTATCCGCTTCTGCATCTTCCAGCCTCTTGAGAACAATACTTGAGACTCCATCAGCACGGCAATAGCCGTCTGCCTGGTTGTCAAATGTCTTGCATTGACCGGTCTGCGAGAGAAAATAGCCACGGCTAAGACCGGTGAAAATGTCGGGGTTAGTCAAGATATTTACACCACCTGTTATAGCAGTATCGCACTCTCCATTAGCAAGCGCGGTGCACGCAAGCTGGATCGCCGCAAAGCTCGAGCTGCATGCCGTATCCACACTATAGCTGGGGCCGGAGAACTTGAAGTGGTAGTTGACACGCCCAGGAGTAAAAGCACGTATACCACCAGGTATAAAATAGGTGTCGATATCTTGACCTGAATTGACTTCTCTCCAGTCATCACTAGCCTGGCCATAGAAAGTTCCGATTCTGTTATTCTGTGTCGACGGGGTCCGTCCTGCAAGGCAGCCAGCCATCTCAAGAGCCTCATACGCAGTGAGTAGCGTGAGTCTCTGGACTGGGTCCATTTGGAATGCCTCTCTTGGTGAAACGTTGAAGAACCTTGGGTCAAACAACCCTGGCTCCTCGACAAAACAGCCGTATCTTGTTTGCATCGTGTTCTTCTTTCGTCCCGTTTCGTCGAAGTGAGTGTCAATATTGAACCGTTCGCTGGGAACCTCTTGGTGGACGTCACGGCCATCTCTCAGCAACTCCCACAGGAGCTCTGCATCCTTAGCTCCCGGGAATCGTCCTGAATAACCGACGATAGCAATTTTGGTAGCTTTTCCGGCCTTCAGATCAGTCGACTCTGCCTCTGGTTGCAGCATATCACTGCAGTCCTCTAGTTGAAGAGCCGAGAGCAAGTCACCTAGCGCTGGATTGCGTCCAAAGGTGAAAAGTTTCCGCTCCTGACCTTGCAGGCCAGCAGTGGCTGTGGTGCACAGGGCCGAAAACACGGCCTTTCTCGCTAGAACGTCCCATAAGTGCTCCGTGAGCAACTCATAGGCATCCTTGCTGGTAGATGTTGTTCTATCCTGCGTGGATACGGCCATCTTCTGATGCCTCCCTCTAAAGTATTCCTCACCGCACCAGCCCTGAAGGATCTCCTGGACATCTTCGGCGCCGTAGAGATGTGGTGCACCTAAAGATCCAGTTGTCGACGTAACAAGCGTTACGTGGCCTTCCAGGATGGGAAGCTTGGCTAGAGTTAACAGAGTCTCGAGTAGTCCTGCGATAACTGTTGCGTCTTTATACGACTCCTTCACATAGGGTCGCGATGATGATGGCAGCTGAATATCCAAAGTCAGCCTCAACGGTCTTAAGTCTATGATCTAAACATGGATCGTACCTTTGATATGTCTCCCTGTGTAATTACAGCTCCTACTTCTGATTCCGACAGGCCTCGGATGACCATCGAGCCATAGCCCCTTTTCGAGTCGACGCCTCTAGGGATATAAAAATCCGCGATGCGTTGAATGTGGATGCCGAGTCTAAGGGCCAGAACAACTGCAAAGGGTCCAAGTTTCGACAATTCCGTGGCATCTCCTGAGACTGCCACGGCGGTCGCTGCTAAGAGGCCCGTTCCGAAGCCCAGAATGTGAGGAGTTCCGGATTCTGACGTTATCCAAGAACTATTCCCGAAATAACTATACACCGTCAGCCTTGTACACTGGATAGTCCTTCTTGCGCTTACACTATGAGGCTACCAATCTGATATATGCAGAGAAGCGCATATTCAAGAATAGGATAGTTCTGGTCATGGGAGCGTTCAATGAGCTCAATGATATTGGCAAATCGCGGGATCAGGTCTTGGATGTGCTGGGGTTGTCGGGACACTTCGTCTCTTAAGAGCAAGGCAGCCTGACGTAGGAATGCCTCCAGTAGAGGGTTATCATGATTGTGAATCAGCCTCCTGAGGACCGAGAGGCGGTCACTTGTGCTGTTATCAAACAGAATCACGTTTGAAGTAAGCATCTTGTTGAATTTGAAGCCTTCAAACAAAGGTGTTGAAACTTGGCCTGCAGTTTCGAAATTGACTATGAGGAAGTTGAAGCCCCAGAGTGAGTCTACAGATATACATTCTCTTTTGAAGATAGAGAATTAGGTAATCAGTACTTAATCGGCTTTTTTCTTTTTCTTTTTTTTGTAAATCTCAAGCCTCAACATCTGTAAATTTAGAATTTGGGCTAAAATTCATTCGGTGACCGATGTCTGCTCGTTGTGAGATAAGCAACGCGGCGTTGAAGTCGATAATCGAATATTCCCGTTTTGGGGATCAACTGGTCTCTCGATGTCTCCCCCCATGGAAAGAGGAAGACATGATTCAAAAACAAAGGGCATATATCATCCCAAACGAACTAAACTCTCATTCTTTTGAGACAGCCGACTATTTCCTAACAAAACAAAAAGAAAGCACTTCGAAAACGATCCACCTTCCATTGTCATCATGGGTTCCCTTGCTCCGTCCTCAGGTCCAGCCTTCGCAGGGAAAGTTGCGCTTGTGACGGGATCTTCTCGTGGTATTGGCCGAGAAATTGCACTTGGACTCGCAGTCCGCGGTGCCGATATTGTCATCAACTACTTCTCCAGCGAAGCCAAGGCGCAGGAAGTGGTCAAAGAAATCAAGGCGTTAGGACGGAAAGCCGTCGCCATTCGGGCGGATGTCTCGTCGTATGAGGCAATCCAGGGACTCTTCCGAGAAGCAGTGGCTGCGTTCGGCAAGATTGACGTCGTTGTCTCCAATTCCGGCGTTGAACATTTCGAGACCATTGACAAGGTGACCCCAGAGCAGTACGACCATGTGTTCAATATCAACACGCGGGGGCAATTTTTCGTCGCGCAACAGGGTTACCAATACATTTCGCCCGGCGGAAGTATCGTCCTCATGTCGTCCATCGCGGCGAATCTTCGCGGCCTGGCTGACCATGCCATCTATTCGGCCAGCAAGGCAGCAGTCGAAGCATTTGTCCGTTCCCTTCCCAGCGACTTCGCCCCCAAGCGCGTCCGGGTGAATGCCATCGCACCCGGTGGCATTGATTCCGACATGGCCAACGACAACGCGTGGCGATACGTTCCGGGGGGCGATGCTTCCATGCCGTACGAAACAGCGAAAGACGCGCTGGGCAGGATGTGTCCCCTCGGCAGGTTTGGTCTGCCGCAGGATGTCGCCAAGGTCGTTGCCTTCCTGGCTTCCGATGAGGGTGGATGGATCAACGGTGAGTTATATCCTGGCTAGAGAGATCATTCGGATATAACTAACCTAACATTGCAGGTCAAGTCATCACGATTTCGGGAGGAGCAGGTCGGTAAGCGTACGGAGATTCGGGGAAACATATAGAGAGACTGGCGGAAGCCGTAGGGCTTTTAGAGATAAATATGCCTCAGATCAAATACATGGACTTCCGCTCCCACCGCTCCCAGGTAATTTCTTCAACAAGAGATAGTAGAAGATGCTATAAAAAAAATTTCGACCTATGCAATTATTGCGGGGCGAAGCGTAGCATGTCTTATTGCATGCCCTTTTACCTTCCTGTCTTGGCGCTTGATCTGATTGGTTTAAAAATCAGGCTTTCTAGCCTTCTGATTGGCTCTTAAAGCCTGTTGTCACGTGCTCTCCTCATAATCACGGGCAAGGTTATTGTACACTGCGCCATAGAAGTAGGGGGCCTTGGCGGGGCTCTGCCCCCCAGAGTATTTATAATTATTCTCTTAATTAGTATAATTCATAGTATTCTAGAGTCCTAATATATGTCTATTATATACCTCTGGCGCTGCCGACGATCCTCCCGATTCAAATCTTCGTGT